ATATATATATAAAGCCATGAAATAAAGGCAGAAGGACAACTATTTTGGGGGTTGGGGCAATAAGAAGGGGAAATGGAAGAGTGAATATCAGCAGTTTATGATAATACTCATAAAAATGTCATAGTGAAATCCATTATTTTAATGACAATTAAAATTAATAAAGAAGGTAATATGAGAATATAGAAGAAAACATTTTAGTAGCTCACCTTATTAATACTGGCCACTAACCAATTGTTTTAATTTTAGGATTATTGGCTCTCTTGCTGGTTTTAAATTGTATTTTTGTCATGACTGCTGACAGCGCACATCATTTTATATCTTTCTATATTTAATGACTACTAGTTATTTTCTGTTGTGAAGTAGCAGTTCAGACATTCTTCTGATGTCCCGATTCTTCTTTTTTCCCTGAGTTGTAAGGGTTCTTCACAGAGTCTAGATGGATGCCTTTTATCAGCTTCACACATTTCACAAACCTTTGCCCTTCCATGGACTGCTGTTTTACTCTTCTGAGACATCCTTTAATGAACAGAAGTTTACTTTCAGTGTAGACCAGTTTAGTAATATCTTCTCTTTGTGGTTAGTACTTTTTATATTTGATTAAAAAATGCTCACCCTATTCTATATCATAGAGACATTCTTTATGTTTGAGAAGTTTCATTATTTTACCTTTATGTTTACTTTTCTATGTGCAATACAAGGTAGGAGTCAGTTTCATTTCAAGTATGTCTGATCATTTTTATTGGTCCTTTGTCCTTTGGTCATTAAAAAGATCAAACTTGTTTTTAAAAATGTATCCTTGTTATAATACAATAATATAGAGGATAAGAATGCCTGCAGGACTAGAGATACTCTCAAAGACTTTTTTTATGAAACCAATTTGGGGTTTAATAAAAATCTTTTAGTATTGATTTAAGCATGAAAGTTGAGAGAAAGAGATATGCTCAGAGAGACACATACCATATCATGAGTGTACCGCCCTTGTATCTATGTCCCAGAGATAACTCAGCAGAAAGTACAAAGTCATTGCTTTCATGTAGTAAGTAGTGAGGGGAAGGATAGATAACCATCAAAATGAATGATCCAAACATACACCATTATATAGAGATACTTGTAGTGGAAAATATAGCTCAGGAGTGGCAACTATTAGAGCAATAAAATTTAAAGGAGTGTTGTAGTTAGGAAAGCCTTCACTGAGGCAGTAACAGTTGGTGGAGATCAAAGGAGTTGAGCTTTTGGCTAGTCCGAGGAAGAATGTTACAGGGAGAGGTGATGAGGTCTGTGTTGCTCCCCTCCGGAGGCCTGGTGGTTTGCATAACAGCCAATCCATGTGACTGGAACAAAAGAAAGACCTGAGGAACAGATGAGGTTGCAGAGGTACCAAGAGTAACTGAAAGGGTTTGAGCATGGGGTGACCTGAGCAAATTTATGTCTAAGGCAGTGGTTCTCAACCTGTGGATGGCAACCCCTTTGACAAACTTCTTTCTCCAAAAATATTGACATCATGATTCAGAACAGTAGCAAAAGTACATTTATGAGGTAACAATGAAATAATTTTATGGATGGGGGTCACCACAACATGAGGAGCAATATTAAAGGGTTGCAGCATTAGGAAGGTTGAGAACCACTGCCTTAGAGGATCATTTTGGCTATTTGTAATCTACTGTAGTGAGGGTATGGGCATGGCAAGGGAAGAAACAGAGAACCCAGATATGGTGGCAGACTCTTATAATCTCAGCTATCCCATAGTTTGAAGCATGAGGATTGCAAATTTGAGACCAGACTGAGTAATTTAGCAAGACACCATCTCAAAATAAAATTGAAGAAAAAAGGAGATGTAGCCCAGTGGTTGGACATTTGCATAGCATGTTCAAGACCCCGGGTTTAATCTCCAGTGCTTGGGGAGAGGAAAACAGAAGTCTAGTACAACAATTTAAACTACTGTTTGGGTTTGACCATGTCTGGTGGTGTGGGTTGGAAAAGGGAAGGAAAGTGGGAAGAAATTGGGTTCTGTACATATTCTGAGGGAGACACTAGGAGTTTCTGATGTAGTAGATGTGGGGAGTGACAACAATAATAAAGCCTGGACAACTTAGGAAGGAAAGAGTTTTCTGTTGGTTAAGATGCAGAAGACAAGGCTGGAGATATAATTCAGCAGCTAAGACCACTGGCTGTTATTCCAGAGGACCCGGGTTCAATTTCCAGTGCCCACATGGCAGCTCACAACTGTCCTACCTGGCCCCGCAGTAAGGACAAATCTCTCCTACCCATGTCCTGTAGCCGTAGGTCCCAAATAAACACACAGAGGCTTATATTACTTAATAACCGCATGGTCTACAGCAGGCCTCTTGCTAGCAAGCTCTTTTCCTCTTAAATTAACCCATCTCTGTTAATCTATGTTTTGCCGTGTGTTCCATGGCTTTACCAGTTCTTTCATGCCTTGCTTCTTCTGGTGGCAGCTGGCATCTCTCTCCTTTCCCTCTTCTTTTCTTGTCTCTGTCTTGGATTTCCTGCCTGCCTATAAGCTGCCTTGCCATAGGCCAAAACAGCTTTATTTATTAACCAGTCATAGCAACACATATTCATAGCATACAGAAAGACATCACACAGCACACAACAGCCTGTAACTTCATCTCCAGAGGATCCGACACTCGTACAAAGACATACATGCATGCAAAACACCAATGCACATAAAATAAAAATAAACAAATCATTAAAAAAAGATGTAGAAGACAATGTCAGGAAAACGTGAGGGAAGAACTTATTTCTGATATATTAAGTTAGAAATTGTAAGATTTGAAAACATATGTGATGAGTAAGTAGTTAGCAGGGTCATTTTCAGGAGGGAACCTTTTGATAGGGCTCCAGCATAAGCTGTCTTCTTCAGTGTTTTTGATCTTAGCCATTCTGATGGGTGTAAGGTGGTATCTCAGAGTTGTTTTGATTCGCATTTCCCTGATGAATAGGGATGTTGAGCAATTCCTTAAGTGTCTTTCAGTCATTTGAGCTTCCTCTGTTGAGAGTTCTGTTTAGCTCTATAGCCATTTCTCAATTGGATTGGGCATTTTGATGTCTAATTTCTCGAGTTCTTTATATATTCTGGATAT